GTGTTACGGTTTAAAATCGTTCTATATTATAAATAACCCTGCACATTTTTCATTAAAATCATAATATGAGTATATACTGGAAAGCACATTAACAAAAACTTTTTAGACCGGCAAAGAGAACTCAAATACGCTTTGTTTCAATTCATCTGGAATTCAGGGCATGGTTTGTTCGACCCATGTATAACGTATGGATTATGACTGTAAAGAAAAAGGTTTATGGTATAACTTTCGGGTTTACGAGTTATAAAGACAGAGTTTCGTCTTGTATTTGAACGTATTGAAAAATTTTATAAGTGATCAATCCAGAAAAATAATGAATTAAAAAACTTAACTTATGAGTATAAAAGGTTATAAGACTTATATTAATTGTTACGTTATTTATTTATGTTTATTTATTTTATTATTTATGTATGTTGTGTTAATTTTGCTTAAAAAAATCAAAACAATAGCCCGATAAAATTGAATATAAAATCAGACTTTTGGGTGCTTTATCTAACTTTATCTAAATATTTAAAGTAAAATCGTAATACATATAGAAATCAAAGAAAGTAAAAGTGCTACACCTTTATATTATGTAAAAATATTATATATCATATAAAATAAAATTAATTAAATAACAAAGTACTAAACTTAAAAAGACATCCAAATCAAGTCATCACAAGTAGTTCAAGTAGTAGTCAATTTATAATGAAAATATATAAATTTATATCGAAATAAATTAAAATATTTACATTAATTCAAAATGAACATAACATAAATCGATTTACTGACATGCAAAATTTTTGCTTATACGTAATATAAATGAACGATTTCTATTGAACGTTCAAATAAAGCTCAAAAGTCAAGACAGAGCATTCTCTTGCTACGGTTTTGCGGATCAATAAAATCATTTAAATATTTCGGCACAATATGTATAGAGTATATATATGTACATACTACGTAATTATTTAAGTCAATATAATTAATACTAGTGACTTATCCCGACTTCGGTACGTTCCTTTGCCTTTTGCGATTTGATACAAAAACATCGCCTATTCTTTATATATACCTACTCGTAATATCATGTTTGTTTTGATATTTGGAAAATTTTCGTACCACGTCTACAGTAGCCTATGTTGTATTTCAGGTTATCTTGAGTACTCAATTTCATTCAAGTCCGTCCTCCCTTCGATTAAATTCCGAAATTAATACGTGATAGGCACCATTGAAGTTACCTACTTATTTAAAAAAAATGTATTATGAAAATGGGGCATTCACATTTGACGAATACATCGCGTACCTACAAAAATATGGACGAATTTATAACCTCTTCCTTTAAAAGTCGGTCAAAAAATTATAATAAATATAAAAGATATTCATGAAGAATAATTAATTTAATCTGAGCTTGACTTCAATAGTAGTTCTTCAGAATAAGCACCTTTATAACTCGAGATGCAACGTAATCTTTTAAAAAGAAAGCCATCTAAAGTAATTTCGAATTCTAATAATGTATTCAAAGTTATTTTGAATTTTACTAAAGTGTAATTCCTAGTAAGGTTACAGCTTTTTTGAAAAAAATGTGTAAGAGCTTTTATTTTAAGACGTCAATCCATTACTTATAATAAAATTCTAACTGAGCCGAATCTGTACACTAAATATTTTTGGAAAAATCTTATTGAAATATACATTATTATCGATACAGAGGCCGAATCTATAGTTTTTAGGATTTTTGTCAAACCCAGACAGTTTGATTTTAATGCAAGGTATGATGATAACTTATCAGAGTCAACATATAGTGTATTTTTTACTGCAGGAAAATATCTCATCTCTGAGCTAAACGTTAAAACGTAAACGGAGCGAGGGTAAGTCGCTAGTTATACTATAAAATCAGCTATCGGAAATACCAATACTGTATTTTTTTAGTATTTCGATAAAAGAAGTCACAAGTTAACGACTTCATTGACTTATTCTTAACAAAAATTGGCTAATCATATTTATTTCTTGTTAATTATAATTATTCACATAATAAATTAAACTGTTCTAATACATATTTTTTTATGAAATGAAATAAAATCATTCTATTTATGCTAAGCCATTAGCTATAGATTTATATTATGTTAAATTCTTAACATAACATGATATAAATTGATACGAAACAACCGCAAGTAATATTTACCAAAAAAACATATTTAACAAGAATTTCTATTGTTAAGGATATTTAAATGTGACATAAGAGATACTTTGAAATTTGAATAACATGAAGCGGTTGTTTAAATCAATTCTTACAACATTATAGAATTTCATAGGTGTATATCGAAACCGTTATTCGTAATAAAATGAAATACATAAAATCTTTTTGATGATCATTATTTATATTCCGACATTGACACAAAGTTTAATAGCACTCGTGCTTGGAGGAAAGCCAGAATATTCCAAAGCATTTCAAGATTGTGGCTCCACTTACCCTACTAATGGTTCTCGAGTATTATTTATTATGAACAAAATATGTGATTAAAAGTATACTATAATAGTAAGTTCATGCAATTATGTAATATAATATAAATGTGAGAAACATTAATTGATTTAGCTAAAAAGATTGCTTCGTGTTAATATTAGTATAATATAATTATAATCTTTTTTTTTTGTTAAGTGTATCTTGTAATATTAAATGAGCAATTCTTGTATATAAAACTTCGTGTATCTCGGAACCGGTTCGAACGATTTTGATAAAAAAAATTATTTAGATAAGATTACTTCTAAGTTTATCTATGTAGGTGTATTTTCCGAAAAAAAACAATATTTCAGAAAAAAAATGTTTTTCTATAATTAGAGCCTTTTGTATTCTTTTAAGTAAATAATGTATTAACCATAAATCATAATATAAATTGGTAGTAAAAAAGTAAACTTTATATTGATCGGTACATAGCACGGGCTAAATATGCAACTTCTACGATAAAAGTCATAATTAATTAAAGACATATTAATTATATCTATATATCAGTCGCCTTTTCCTAACGTCCCACTGTCGGGTTCGATTCGCTCATCAATTGTGGGTTGGTGGACTTACACGTGCACATGTCCTCATAAATATTTTGCTTCATATAAGGCATGTGGTAATTATATTGTAAATAATACGCAATTAATGAAGATATTAAAGGGAGACCCGGGAATTGAATTCGCTTTACTTGGTTTCCTCTAGCTAAAATTTTGACTTTCTTGCCTAAGACAATAAATTAACAGTAAAAAGTTAGACATTATATATAAAATTATATTTAAACATTGACAAGCTTTATTTTTTATATTTATTATTCATTTCATTTTGTACATTTATTCGTCTTTAATCTTCTTTTTGATGTAGCAAAAAATTTAATATTATTGAAGAATAAAAGAGTTCAAGTATTACATCAAACGATTTCATTTATACATAAATAATGTGTGTTTTTTATTATAATTAAAACATACGGAAAATCCTATCATGGCAAATACCTACCTACCCACTCTATATATATCTACCTACCCTATCAAGGAAATAATATAACTGTAGTGGTTTTTTGGAAGAACATTGTCTATATTATTTATGAAGCTAAATGATTTTTGATGGATATTTCAAAAAATATTAATTGCAATTCAACTTCGAAACTCTGAGAAAAATCATATTATAACCCTCAAGCAAAAATTATCAATGAAACTAGAAAAACGTAAAAAAAAGTTTTGCAAAATATAAAAAAAATATAAGCAAAAATTCTTATATGAACACAATAAGATAAAAAATATGTAGAGTTATTATCTATAAAAAAATTAAGGAATTTATTTGAAGAACAAACCAGTTGGTATAAAAATTAAAAACACTATATTATTGTTGTTCTACTGAATCACGAACATATTTCCGATTTGTTAAAAATTCTATTATTACTAGTATATGTGCAAACAATAGCTTATTATCTACTTAACTACTTTGAACACCAGCTAAATGCGTATGACACTTTTAAAATCACTTTTTTAATAACGGTAGAATATTTTTTTTTTTTTAATAGACAAATCATCATTACCATCCGGAAATCTAGCCGGAATCAAATAAATGAATTTTGAATAAATAGCGTAATCTAAGAAAGTACTAAGAAACTTGGCGCACATCACTAAGTTCACTCCAGGGTTTACTCAGGTACGGCGGCTCACCTCGGTGGGCAGTGTTCTATATGGGTAGTTCCTATAACTTCTCCTCTGATAGCAGAGTGAATCGTAGGTGTAACTCTTTGGTTGTTGTGATCTGCCTTGGTAATTCTGTAAGTTATCCTGTGATGCCTTAATGGGAGGTCCCGTTGGGTTTTAAGGGATGCGTACTGCCTGTTCTAACCAACACATAATCGATGAGCTACCACTTGTTTTACAGGTAATATGGATAAATGCATTTTTCAACACTAAAGAAGTATGTGTAAAATATTGGCGATCTGTTTAATCCCACATTAATCGATTTCAATGGCACTTATTTTCTAATCGATTTAGTTAAGTGCATTCATACGTATTACTTGAGCTTGAATATCTAACGAGGGTGATGTTCAGTATTTATAAATTAATACTGTAAATGCTAGTGAAGCCTTTCCTACATAATACCTATCAGTTCTTTGTATTAAATCAGGAAGTAAATGTTCTATTTTGTGTCGTTATTTATCTTGTATTTAAATTTATAGGGCATAAATATAATATTATTAAAAGCTTTATATTATATGATAATATAGTTTATCGATTGATCGATAAAACAAATACCTATTATTATAGTGCGAAAATAAACTCGATTTCTTTTTGGATATTAAGTGCACTCTCTATTCACTCTCCCTTTAACTTCCATTGAGACGACAGTTCGATACGACCGGCTAGAGATCAGGCGCAAGCCGACGGATTTACAGATTCTCCAAGAAATGGAGGTGAAACACCGCCAACTTCCCAACCAGCCTTCTTCCTTCCCAACCTTCTTCCTGCTAGCAACTACATAATATATAGACTACAATTATAAGTATATTTACCTGAAATAACAGTATTTTGAGTGGCAGACGGTGAACTAGACACGGCTACCAGAACAAATGCCAATACAGTCCGATGCAAACACCACACAGGGCACATTTCGTTTATTTTCATGTAAACATTAATTTTAATATCACTGTTGGAATAAACTTGAACTTCGAAGGTATCTCAACCGTCCCGACTTTGGTATCGTCCAGATCTGAAACAAAGGAAAGTTTGTTAGTAAGTTATGATTTATCGTAACGTAATTTGAGAATCTTATAATATAATAAAACAGAATCTAATATAAAATTTAGTATTTAATAGCAACTGATTGATAATATTAACTCTTATTATTATATAGTGGAGCAACAAAATGAGTTTAAGTCACATAATTTCTTTTTTTTAACCGCATAAATTTAATAGAACACACGCTCTTACTTAAATATTACAAAGCATACATGCAGGAGGGTGTCTAATGGTCTATATATAAAACCAAGTCGGGTTAGTTACATCATTTATAACTCAAGAACAGCTGGACCGATTTTTATGATATTTGATTTGTTTTTTTTTTGTCTTCACTCCGAATAGCAGAAAAATTATGAAAACATCGGAAAAAATCACAAAAAAATGCGAAAGCTCGTGAAGATGTATGGATGTATGTATGGATTTCGTTACTCATTCATGCAAAAACTACAAAATGGATTTCAATGTAACTTTACAATAATATAGCTCATACACATAGTAGCCTATGTCTTATTCTGGTTTTATCCCGGAAAAATGTACGGTTTCCGTGGGATAGATTTGGTTTTGTTTTTCTAGAGGCGAACCTGTTCGAAGCCAGGGTGAGCCGCTATTATATTATAATGAAATAAATTTTGCCCTTTTCATATTAAAAGACATCATTATTTAGACATTACAATTTATATTTATTTCTTTTTGTGACTTATACTACACACAAAGATATTAATCCCATGCCTGATCTTTTTTTTCCTTTCAGTAATATCGGATTTTTGTTCCATGGCTATATATATGTATGAGCGAAAAATCAACACAACACGCACACGCCTACACTATATATTCTTATGAGATCTTGCTTTTAATCATGATCAAAATCGTCCAGGATATTAATAAACCTAATTTATATTGTACCTACATCCCCCTACAGAAAAAAAATGTGACATAAAAGCTACGGTACCCCACGAGTATCCCGGATATCGTAGATATGATATTCTCATGTGCTAATCCATGCCAACTGCCTTACGGCGAATAAGAACATCATGGGAAAACCTGTATGTCTGAGAACGTACCTAGTTTCTAAAATCATGTGAAAGTAGTCTATGCTCAAAAATGGAGTGTACGATAGAAAGAAATAATAAATTAAATAATAAATAAATATGTTGGAACATTAACACAGATCACCATCTAGTTCCATGGTAAGCTACGAGGCTTGTGTTATGGATACCATTTGTGCTCGTCATACAAATGAATGCCCCCAGCGGGTATCAAACCCACGACCGCTGGCACAGCAAGTGTGGTATAAGCTATACACTATAAATTGAGATAAACGTATCATCAAAGTGACATATAACAACGATTTTTGTATCTCTGAAAGTAATAAAATAGAAAACCCAATTACTTTCAGCTCAGAGAATACCTAATTAGTTAACTTTAGCAAGGATATTCTTCTAGGTCGTTTCCGACGAGATTACAAACCCTAAAATTCATAAATGCTATCAGCTTGTTTATTAATATTTATGACAGTCCCGAATTAATTGGAATCAATTTTGATCTAACAAGCTTCACGTCACCTTATGGATAGGAGGCATACGAAAGTTTGTTTCGGTACGGGTTTTAGATTAATAGAAGTTATTTTTGGATTACTTAAATTAAATAAAAACTTTAATAAAAACCAATTTCCAGGCGCTAAAATGTAAAAATTACCTAAACGGGGGTTTTCGTTTAGAGTATATACCTAATCAGATATTTTCGAAGTTGGTGCCAGCCGATACAAAGCAAATCTAATATATTCCGACACGTAAAATAAATATTTACCTATGAGATATTCATATCTTAAAATACTGCAGGTAATTTGTAAGAGGAAAGTTTTTTAATACGTATTCGATTAAACAATTTTTAAAAAAAATATATTGTTGATTTTTTTTTAAATCCGCTTGACTGAATTCGATAAAATTTATCTGGGACCACCTGGGAAGTATATCCTTTAAAAAAAAAATGTTCCAAATCGGGTCAGGTGTCTTCTAGTAATCGGTGAACATACATAATAAAAAGAAAAAAAAAAAGATTCCGACGAATTGAGAACCTCCTCCTTTTTGACAGTTGATTATAGTCGGTCGGCTAGTTAAAATACTACATTTTTTATACAAGTTTTAAACTTATATAAAATATTTCATATTTTAACTAAGATTTTAATTTGAAATAAACTGTACCGTAAGTCACTGATTTGGATCCCGTATACGCAAATATTTTACGGGTACAAGACGGAATACGTATAAAAACTTAATAGATTAAATATGTGTATATATGTATGTATGCTTATTACTTCTTTACGCTGAAACGGCTGGACTGATTTGGATGAAATTTAATACCTATATAACACCTGGGTAGTACATAGGCTACTATATATAGGCGCCTAGGGACGACGTATGTATGTAAAGATTATTAATACTAGGGAGCATTGAAAAAATTGTCAACAATTGCAGAATTCTGTTCATCTAAAACTAAGTCTTACAATAAATAAATATAAATAAATAGATAAAGTAAGCCTAAAACAAAAGTGACATAAAACATAAATATACGGGTATATATCAATTACATAACTAAAGACGCTGAATAGGCTTAAGCACCTGACGCACAATTTATCACACTCGCGTTGTCGAGTAAACTTGCGAGTCACCAAAACACTTCATACAAAGTATAACAACGTGTAAGCGTAGCTTCGTAGCGTTTCTTATCAACTGGAAAGAGGTTTTTGTCAGGATAAAAATAGTACTAAATGATTTTAGTATCAACTTTAGATGGTTTCCGACATTATTACATATGTGAAAGTTTCTATGTGTGTTTTTGTGTGTTCTTGCGTGCGTGTATGTTTGTGTGAGCGCGCACAGGTACGCGCTTGTGTGTGTGCGCGTGCATACGTGCGTGCGTGCTGCGTGCGTGCGTGCGTGTGTTTTTACTACATAGTATGTTTGGTGTTATATTTATTTCTTTCAAATAGCTTAAATACTTTTCAAAACACAGTACATTTTATGACTTTAATATTTATATCAATATTTTCATTTTGTTTTTAAAAATTGAAACAGAATTTCGAAGAAACCTTTAATATTACGAGAGCCAAAACGATTTCCTGTGAAGTCTAAAATAATCATCGGCCATTTTACGCAATAGGACAGATAATTAGATTATCTCGAATTCGTCGGCGGAATCACGTTGTGTGAAATTTGAATAATTTTGCATCAAGTTACGCGGACAGAGAAAATAGGCTCGGTAATACTCCCTATTTCAAATCAATCGAGTTTTGGGACAATACTGCGTTCGTTCTACAGAATATTAGTTCATAAATATTTTTAAAATAGTACATATCGTTTATACTAAAACTGTGTCTTCTACTCAATTGTAACTTAAAGAGATAAGAGGTATGTAAAATAAAAATATTTCTTCAAAATAGGTTACAGGTGTAATCACTGGATTTTACTTTAATATGCCACCAAAACAAAACATTAAGTTAAGGTCTAATCATACAAAATACAAAAGCTTGAAAGTTCATCCTTGTGCAAAATAAAATTCACGTTTTATATTATCAATCGCTTTGGGATCCGAAACCTGGGTACGAAAAAAAGAAGCCCAATTGAATTATGTTTCCCCATCAGTATGTATAAGATTGATATTGAAGAATAAATTGTTTCCACCGCCTCACTCATGAAGATGGTAGTATAAAAAGTGCGCAGTAAAAATATTACTCGACGTGATAAAATATAAGAGCATTTGGCTAAGTAAAGAAAATATTTACGACAAATTTCATTTGCATAATATTATATACAACTTAGATAATAGGATAACTAATATAAAAGTACTTTATAAAACGCTTGATGTCTAGATAACGCTTTTCGTCTTTCGGTGGCCTATTATACTTTACGTAGAGTAAAATATATTCTAAACAGGTATTTATTTAAAGACTAGCAACTCAACCTCGCACCGCTCGGGTTCGTCCCTAGTTAGGTTTTAATGTTTATTATAGATTTCTCAGAGATGTGATAGTTTCTTGCAGTAAAAGGTATCCTATATGTTGACCCAGAATTTCATCAAAATCCATCCAGTGGTTTTCTTATAATGCGGTTATAAGCAGACAGGCAGACAAAAAAATATTTAATGTACAGTTTTGAATCAGTCAGAATTTAATTATATGTATAGATTTGGCCGTGTAAAGATAATTTACGGGTACCCAGATACAATTACGGATAATATAATATACTTAATATTAAAAAAAAGAATCTCCTTAATGATAATAATATACACGCTTTTATGTATAATTGAGCTTAAATCTGAAATGTGTGATCCTGTTTACAGAACATGTGATACTTTGGGTTAGCAAGAATACAATATTATAATAACACGTATAGAGCCCTCCGCTACCATGGATTTGTAATACCCGACGCGACGTTCGATAACGAGTGCGTAATCTATGCTTATATTATAAATGCGAAAGTTTGTGAAGATGTATGGATGTTTGTTATTCTTTAACGCAAAAAATACTGAATGGATTTTAATGAAACTTTACAATAATATAGTTCATACATTAGAATAACACATAAGCTACTTTTGATCCCAAAAAAATGTACAGATCCGTGGGATACATTTGTTTTTGTTTTTCTAGAGGTGAACCCGAGTAAAGCCGAAGGTGGGCTAGTCTAATATATTATATAAGTATATAAATAAGCAAGACAAAAGAGTTCAGTACCTTTTTATATTCTGTTTATCAACTAATTTTCTCTTTATGTTCAGTTTTTTTACATAGATAGGTAAATTCTATTCATATGTTTTCTTCAAATATTGAACAATGATTATCGTCGAATTTCTACCACTGGGCGAGAATTATTATA